TTAAGAATTAACATTTTGCTCTAATGTCTATGAAGCTTAGCAACTTCTAATGGCTTAGTTATTACTATGTTGGCTTTTAAATAGCCTTAACCTTCATAGTGTGCATAAGACAATGTATAATTAAAGCCTTTAAAAATAAACTGTTGCCTTGCTTATGTTATGAAATCTTTTATACCATCAAGACTTCAGGAAGGTGCAGGAAAGAAAGCACCTTACAAATATACAAACACCCTTTTAAGTTGGAAGTGGACTGCTAGGCTTCATAAAATGCTTGTGTTCTATTTATTAGTTATCTTTAGTACAGCTCATCATAGATGAGAATCTTCTGTGGCTGCATTTGACTAAGATTTGACTCTGTTAGATGAAAGTTTTTATAATCTTTAATTAAATGGTGAGGATAGTCTTCAAAAGTATGGAAGGAGAGTTGGTTTTCCACCTCCTGTGGCAAGTCAGTGGGAGTTTAGTGCTGTTTGGAGTCTCCCCCACGGTGCTGTTGACGTTTTGCAGTGATGCTTCTGTAGCAGCAGGTAGATGCAACCTGAAAAAAACAGAAAATGAAAAAAAAAACAAAGTCTGAATTTTGGGGAGATTGGTTTCTTTGTAGTCAAGTGAACGTTCAGGTTTTTGTCTGATTGAGATTACAGACCAGAGTAGCAGTTGTAATGTGTGCGTGGACTCTGCTGTTACCAAAATTAGGAGAAATTTCCCTTAATTTAAATGGATATTGATTGGATCAGGTTAGTTACGAGGCGATCTTCGGTCTTTAAAGCCTCTGAAGAAACCTTCAGTGATTTTACAAAAGCACTCTTAATGAAAGGTCAGATATGTTTTTATTTTGCATTTGTTACTGGTAAAGCACTCTCTCTGGTCCTGTGTCTCCTTGAAATGCTCGTTCAAAATTTTGGTTTGGGCGGAGTTGGTACCTTGACTTCTTGCGTTGTTAATATAGTGCTGTTGCACAGTTTTTGCAGAGTGTGAGCACAGTTGGGGAGCCAGCTACTGAAGTTGGATAAATTATCATGGACTGCCTTAAAGTACCTGTTATCAATAAGGAAGACTGTAACTTGTAAGTCTAACAGAAATCTGCTTGAACAGGATAAAGTGACTTCCCATCTGTAGTCCTCTGAATTGTCCATTCAGTTCTGTTATTTATGAAAATCAAGCAGACCTCACAGCTGTTGCTTCAGTTTGCAAAGTTAATTGTATACACACATATATATGTATATTTTAAAAATATAAATAAAGTTCTTGTCAGAAGTCTGGGCTGTGGCCGTGTAATTTGACTGTGAAGCTAGACTGGCAGTTTCTTGTTTCCTAGTGCTTTTAAAAAGACTTAAGATGTCACCTCAGAAACATTTAGTGCAAGTCTAAAACATTGTGCTAAAGTCAGGCTCGCGTACCTCTGTGGGAGTAGAGCTAGGTTAACGTTGAAGAACTGTGAATGTTCCATACTTAAGTATAATTCACATGGTAAATACTTCAGTGCAAGCTCAGTTGGCTCAATGTTTTTTGCTTTATATACTGTAGCAATATCTATAAGGGAATATGCTAATCGCTGTTTGTCATATCCTTCATGTGATGGGAGCGAGCTCCACATCTTACTTTGGCTTCATCTAGCCAGAGCCTTGGAGAGGTAGTCACGGTCTTGTTTGGGTAGTGCTTGTGGGTGGGCTTCACCCTACCACAAGCGTACTAGAAATTGTGTTGCGAGTACTTACTGTCTGACCTGTTTACAGGTTGTCTTTTAAACAATTCTAAAACTTGCATTTTTTTTCCCCGTAGGCAGGAGTGTCTGTTCCAGATTTGCTTTAGACATACCTATTTTTTAAATTTTGGTTTTAGTTGTAAGTAACGCAGTGTGCTTGGGTGTCCCAAGTGGAACTTTCATTTTGAGCTTTGGGTCAGGATGATGGGGTGCTGTCCTCTCTGGCTTTCTTTTTTAGTGGTGAAAAATGCAATTCCACAGGCTATTCCCTAACAGCTATGTTTTGTACTATACTATTATTCCTTTCGTTTTTTTAAAAAAAATCATTTTCTTATTAATGTATACTGCCTGAGACCATGATATAAATTTCAGGTCCTAAGCTGACTTCTGCTCCAGGGCTATACAAATCAGCTGCTACTCTGTTTCCTTGGTGACTTATTCAGGTCAATGGTCAAGATATAAAGGTTGTGGGGTGGAAAGGGGAGTAACTCTATCCTGTGAGGTACAATAAAGTTTTTGTTCCCGCTTACCTGGGAAATTCTCCATAAATATAGTCGTGGCTCTGGTACCTGTGAGTAATATTGTCCTGAGCTTATGGCAATAAAAGCCCTATGGAACCCTGATGCGTCAAGCAACTTCTTCTGTCCTTTCTTTTCTCCTTCCTAACCGATCATCTGATTGTTTCTGTCTTATAAAAGGTAGTTCAAGTGAATAGTGCTGTTTCTAGCATGTAGTTCAGATGTTATTGTTCTGACCTGTAGATTCGTAGAGTGTTATATTTCTCATGCTATGTTTATGAGATTAATGTTTTACATAAACAGCCACATCATTATAAAGAACTAATGAAGAATTTCCACTTCAAGAGCGTGCTGTGTTTGGCAAGGCAGCAGTTTTACTGGTTTGGTGGAACTGCTATAGGCTAAGCCTTGCAATAAGACTGTATTATGTTTCTGACTTCTGCCAGACTTTCTGTCTCAATCAGAGATCTTGCTTCCGAGAATCATACTTAAGATGGGAGAAGTCTGTATATCAGGTTGAAGTAGCAACACAGCTGATAGCTGCTATTTAATGTGGAACACTAATACTTGTACACTGGGAGGTTGTTGGTTTGATTTCATTTCTGACAGTTTCTTGACTGAAACAACCTCTGCTTATAATTTTGTAGGTAAATGTGGCTGTTCTATTTATATGTTTTAAAACCTTTCAATTCTCTCTAGCCCTGCTACTCTCACTACTCAAGTTCTTAGCTCTGATAGTGAGAAAACTTGGTAACAGGCAGCAGTTGGTAGGATATGTACTGCCATTTTGGCTTATTGCTTTTGCCAGTAATGATATATTTGTACTATACCCATAAGGAAAAGGCTTTTGATGGTCTTTGGAGTTCTCTTGTTTATGTTTTTGAAAAGCTAATATAGAAAACCTAGTTTCTCAAGCAAGTTATCTCAGAATTCATTAGCTATGTGGAAGCTCAGCAAGAGTAGCTTCCTGTTGACACCAACATTTTCATTAAACGGTTTCTGTTTTTTTGTTTCTGTTTGCATAGAAACTGTGTGAGGAAATACTAAGCATCCTTGAAAAAGACACAAAAATTTCATGTCAAGTTGCCTGCCTGGAGGCCCTGCGGATTCTCTCCAGAGACAAGAAGGTTTTAATGCCTGTAACCACGAAGAAGAACATGCAGATCCTTATGAGGCTAGCAAAGCTGGACACTATGGAAGATTCTTTGGAAAGGGTGTCTGAATATCCTGTTATAGTAGAAGCTTTAAAATGCCTCTGTAACATAATTTTTAATAGTGCCGTTGCACAGAAGCTCAGTTTGGAACTGAATCTTGCAGCTATGCTCTGCAATCTTCTGAAAAAATGCAAGGACCAGCAGTTTGCTGATGACATTAAATGCTTTGATTTGCGTCTTCTCTTCCTCTTGTCACTTCTGCACACAGATATTAGATCACAGTTGCGTCAGGAACTACAAGGGGTGCAAGTCTTGATGCAGGCTTTGGAAACCTCCCTGAGTGTAAGATGGACAGAAGAATATAAAGCAGCTGAAGACCATGACAGGCCTCCTTTATCTTTGCAAGAGACAGATTGCGCCATTGAGGCACTAAAGGCTCTTTTTAATGTAACGCTTGACAGTTGGAATGTCCACAGCGAGGTAAGGTTTAGCTGCAGTGTTTTCTAGATTGGATTTGTTTAGTCTGCAAGGCTCATAACCACCGTGTAGATACACGAGGGGCAGTGGTTGTCCAAGACCTAGAGCACAGGGCGAGGATTTTAATCCTTGATTTTTTTTATTTTTTTTTAATTACAGTAATTTTGACAGAGGATAGATTGGGATTTTCAGAACAGCAGCTAAGGTAGTCTTGAAATTTTGTAACATCGTAGTCGGTTTCTCTCTCTGTAAGATCTGTCTGAAAATATTTATCTCTGAATTCTAGCTATGTGTGGATGATTTTGCGCTTTCAAGAGGTGCTGAGTCTTTAATGTTCGTTACTTTGAATGCCAAAATAAGTTTTTATCCTGTTACTGGTTAGTGGGAAAAAAAATTTAATGGCAGAGTAGTTTGGATGGTATAATACAAGTTAGAACCGTACACTTTGAAATAAATAATGAAAAATATAGCAGAATATGTCTAAGACTATTTCCTGAGAGTCTGAGACTTCCAAAAGAAAATAAATGCTATTAGCTAATAATTAGCTGGCTAGGAAAAACTTGTTAATATATGTATCTCAGATGACTACATCTCTGAAGATTGTTGACTGTCACAATAGGATAACAATTAGAGCTGAGAAGTCTCCCATGCTTCCTTCAGCTTTGCTGGGCATGATTATAAGCACATCACCTCTCCTCTTTAATAATAAACAACTCTAGATGAAGAAATAAAGGGGGTATTATTTTTAATGTCTTTTTTTCCCGTCCTCTCAGCCCCAGGTTTGGGTTTGAACTTGATCTTTTAAGATGACATCGGGTACAACCACCAAATATGCTTTCATTGTTATCTGTTATAAATAAGATTTATTCTTTTTTTTTTTCCATTACATCAGATCTGGTTTTCCCCCCATAGACAAATGTGCTTACTATGTGGTGCATCCCTAAAAATTTATAAGCAGAAACAATATTGAAACCCTCCCTCCCCCCCCTTTTTTTTTTTGAATAACCTAAGTCTCCAATACAGTAGTAAAATTAGAGCACTAGCATCTTCTTAGCGCGCATAACATTGTCTCTCAAAATGTTGTTACCTTTTCACTGGGCACTGTAATCGTCATCCAGTGTATAAAACTATGCAGAAGTTTACAGTAGTTAAAATGGACAAATAACTGTCTATGGTATGATATCAAGTATGATATAATGCATAAAGTGAGCTTCAGTAAGGAATGTGAAACTTGAAGAGTTTAAAATTCATTCTTTGCTAAAATGTCCCAAGAGCACTCATTTATAAGAAGTCAAATACCCAAAGTTAAGAGTAAGGTAGTATGGGGGAAATCAGAATAGCCAATATTTGAAATTTCAAGAAAATGCAAAGAAATGGAGTGGCTTTTCTCTTGCTTATATTTCTGGCCTGGACCTTTATTAAAAATAACTTTTAACTTTCCCAGAGGAAGAAAATGTTCTTTGTATAGGCAAATGATTGCATTTGAGATAAGACAAATGACCCAAACTCAAATGTATAATACATCTATGGATGTCTGCCATTTAAGAGTTTTATAAGAAGTATCTGCGATACTTCTGTGTGAAGGAAATAAATTCAGGTATTAGGCTGGAAAATGAAGCTATGTTACATGCTCATCTCTTGAAAAGTACTCTCTTAGAATCTGAGTCTTGAGCTTGTTACAGTCTTTTGATCTCTCAAGATTCCTAGTGTTTTGTAAATTCAATTTACTTCAGAGAGAAGGGTGGGATACGGCATGCAGTTGTTGGGGAATTTACCTAATGAGACTTCATTTGGCAGTTCCCTCTGGAATAGGGGAGATCTTGTCCCACAGAACTTTTCCTACCCAAAGAACCCGAACAGGTGGTAATCAGAGAAATTTCCCTTGGGTCTGAGGAAATTCTGATGTTAGTAACCTTTATTTATTTCCTTTCTTTAAGTTAGATGAGGGTTTAAGATGTCCTGAGGGTGGAGAAGCTTATTTTCTGTTTCGAGATAAAGCTTTTATAGAAGTAAAGCTTTTACTAGAAGTTCCTAAAGGCAAAAAAGCATTAAATTAAAGAACTCTTTATTAGTTGCAAACCATTAAGGAGATGTTTGGTGATGTTCTGCTTATGAATTATCCCTGTGGAAATATTAATGATCTGCAAGAAGAGTCAACAGCATGTTAATGAAGTGTGCTGAAGGTACAGAATTTGAAGAGATTACAAACTTTAAATAGGATGGAAAATGAGACCCAGAGAGGTTAGGCATGTGGGTAGAAAACTGAGTGAGAGTCATCCTGTGGGGAAGAGAATAATTTGAAACACCAATATTTAATGACTAGAGATGATTTCAAAGTAGCAAAGCCAGAAAAGCTGCAGGTGGTACAGTTGGCGGATTTGGACATTGATGTTACAGCGATGCGTTAGGTACTTTGTGCTAGGACAAATGCACAAGAACATGTGATGGATGCCAAGAAGAGCTAATAAAAAAGGAACAGGACAATGCTATGCATAGTTAAATGATTGCAGTTATTGGCATACTTTGTGTGGCTGCTGTTTGATGGGGGATTGGGAGGAAGAATTGCTTGGAAGATGCAAAAGTAGGGCAAACAAAGTTGGTGAGAATAGAGAAGCTTATAAGTAAATGGAGGAAAAAAGGTCAAGGGAAAAGAAGCAAGTGAATTAGAAAAGGAAACATCAGGTGAGAGAAATGAGACTACTGGCAGCAGAAGGACTAGATGGGAATGAGATGAGAAAATGAAGAACATATGGAGTCTAAACTGATGGAGAGAGGGTTGCATGTAAATTCGGGAAGGAAGATAGTAGTGGTATAATTAAGAATAGAGGTATGGAGTTAAGCAAATGGTTGTAACTAGCCTGAATATCCCAGTGGGTTTCCTGATAGCGGAAGCTCATTTGATGCAAAAGAAATCCCCACGGATGTTAAAAGGCTGTCATAGCAAAAGCTACATTGCACTAAGCATTCAGTGAACTCTAAGGTACAGTCCTTTTATTGATAGGGATGGATGTTATGATCTAATAGGTATTTTCCATCTTTAATTTTTATTATTCTAGTGACCTGAAACCCTCACTTGCAATCTTCAAAATGAAAAAATATCTTCATAATTTATATTTATATAGAATGAATCTCATCAATTTCGTTACATGGCTGCCATCCTCCGCCACTGCTTATTAACCAGCGGCCCTACTGAAGACAAAACTGAAGAATTGCACAGGTTGGTAGAATTGCAGAACCAATCTATTTTGAAAGGTTATTTTTAAAAAAATACTTTGCCTGATATCTAAAGAGGAAATCAGAGAAACAATGAAAACTGTAATTCTTAAACTTGTTTAAAATCTTATGAATCTTTTTAATGGAAGCTCTTTGCCTGAAATGCTGTTTCAACGTGTCCACTATTCCAAAGAGGAAGTGGCTGGTAAGGTTGCCATTTGTAATCAACAGTAATGAAATTGACCTTGCTGACATGTTTCTCGAGTAATTAAGGATGTAATTATTTATGGAAGTTCCAGGAGTAGCGCGAACTAAGGTGGAATGCAACTGTTGTTGCTTTGTGTAGATGTTGATGGAAAAGCTACATCCAGAGATGTAGCTTTTGTGTAGATGTAGCTGTTTGAGATTTTGGTATGCAATTTCTGCAGTTCTGATGCATTGGAGGTGGAAGTAACAGCTTGATATTTTATTTCCAGCAGTTCTAGGCTGCTTTATTCGAATTACAAAAATCAATTTCCTGGTCCTTCGGTTTGGTTTTGTTTTTTAAAGGCCCCCAAAGGTGAGCCAATTATCTTGGAGTTTAGTTTATTAGGTATGTTGTCTTTTTGCCCCTCAGTCCTGCACCCCACTGTTTGAATTATTGGTTGTAAATATAAAATGACCAAAATTGAGAGGTTTTTTGTGAGGTGGTAGTTTTCCCCTGTTCAAAATTACTAGCTTTCTCTGATGTTATTTTTATCTTTCTAAATAGGTCAGCTGCCCAAAAGCCCAACAGTACAGTAGCTTCAAACGCTATCCCGTGTTATCTCTTGGTAATGAAAATCAGCGTTGCCGTTTTCTTTGACGAAACATCCGTATATGTAAGCGCAAGATCTTTTAAAGGTCTTATTCTGAGCTGGAAGAAGGATATAGCTTTTCACACTCAGCAGTCTTGAAATTTTCAGTGAACTTGATTAAAATCTTGGAAGGCTCTCAGAGATCAACTGTCTTAGTAGTTGAGCGCTCAAATCCTACCTCAGAGCTCTTCTCAGTTGGTGCAGACCAGTTTGGAATAATTTAGGATATCATTGCAGTAGCTGCTCCGAGTAAAGTTTGTGTGTCCGAAAAGGCAGTCTCTGTTTTCTGTTTGCTGCTGCTGCTTATGGTGGGTGTCTCTCACCTTTCCTTAAGGGAGTGTTTGGTGGGATTAATTTCCCCACCACTGGGAGTACTGAACAGATTTGGACAAGTCCCGTAGCTACAAGAAGATAAAGATAGGCCTTTTGCCTTTAAGCTTGTGCATAGTCCGCAAGACTCTGTCTGATACTGTGGTGAGTTGCTATACAGCTGGTGCTCGTCTGATGAACAGGTGCTCTACTTCCTTGTCCAGGATGAGACCAGGATACGAGACTCCTCTAATCACCTTGTAAAATAGATCATGCCTCAAAATTCATCGTGAGCTATTCTAAAGGATGTATTGTTATGTTAATACTTCTGGTTCTAGCTTTTGCAGACACTTACAGATCAGGACCAAAAAGGGCTTTGTAGCTAGAAGTAGGCAGCTAGGGAGCAAATGTAATGTTGGTGTGATTTCTGTCCTTGCTTTTGTCAGTCAGAAGGAATATATTGCGTAGATTTGCTGTCCACGTGGACTACCTGTCCTTCCAGAGGCACCAGATCAAGGCAAGGATTCTCCCTAATGTTGGAGAAAGGGAGATACAAGCAGAAGGAAGATGGGGCTGGGTATCGCTGCCTTGAGTCCTTTCAGTTGTCTCCTCTGCTCCATCAAGCTCAGTACAGAGCTGCATCAATCTTTCTCTTACTCTGGGAAAGCCGCTTACTCTGTTAGCTGCTCTAGTTAGTTTCTTTAGCTCAAGTTGGTAGAAGAAAGAATACAAGTGTAGCTCTGCTGCGTGTAATATTTTATTTTGATTTATGACATATACAGGTTTTTTAACCTGTTAGATCACTGCCCAGGCTTTCGTTTTTTGCGATTCAAGTACTTCAGCTTGTCTGCAAAACCTGAATTTTGTCTTTGCATGCTACGCATGTAATGTCACACGGTCAATTAAACGATGGCATGCTGTCTTCCACAGAAACCCTGTCTGATTCCATATGTGGAATAGATGTTAAAAAAAAAAAAAAAAGCTGAATAATTTAATATACTTTTCCACCAGTAATATTCACCAGAACACAAGGCAGTTCTGGAATAGAAAAGTTGTGGTCAAGAGTAATGCCCCTTACAATCCTCAGAGGACCCGGATAGCTCACTTGAGTCTCCTGATGTAGTCAGTCAGCCACATATTTCGTTCCAGATCAGAATTTCAGTAATAAATGAGTAAACTTATGTTAGCAGTCCATAGCTAGCATAGCTATAAAATGAGGCTGTATCATCAGTTGGACTGTTAAGTATGCTAAACTCTGAACCGTTATTGCTAGAGATGAGGTGCGAGTCAGAGAGAGCAGAGCGCAGCTTCTCAGTGTGCATTCCACCTGGAGTCCATCAGTAAGGCATTTATTAAAATAAAATAAAAAAATAGAATAAAAAATAAACAGACTTGAGTGCAGAATAAACTTTAAAAAGCATCAGGGTGGCATAAGTATATTTTTTTTACTGTTGCTGATCACTTACACTTCTGTAAGTTTGTAAATCTGTGGAATTTGGATGCTTAAATGAAGGGTTTGGATAGCCTGTTAAAGAGCCTTTTGGATGGAATGCTTGGGCTCTGAGTGTTTAAGCTGAGCATTTATTTTATATGAGCATCAGGCCTGAATTGTGATGCGTTGATTGCCAACTTGGCTTTTCTTTCTAACCAACAAGTAGAAGCTACCCAAGGAAACTATCTTAACTAATTTAGTACCTATATTGTTGTCATAATTGTGGTTCTGTCATGTCATTACGTAATGTTTGAACATGAACAGCTTAAAGCACCACGTATTAGAGCGAGTGCCATTTTTGCCCACTAACAAGGTTTTAATCAAGGCATTCAGCAGCTCTAAATAGTCTTTTGCTCCCGAATTTGCATATCAGGAGGGGGCTGGGAGCATGAGTGGGTGGATGTCATGTCCCAGTGATTAATGATCTCTAGGAAGCCGAAAAGAGGAGAGTAATATACGCAGTATTTCTACCCCCTGGAGTAGGAATGCAAACACTATTGTGCAGATCTGTGCATAGTCACTGACTTCCTGGTAGCTGGAGAATTTCATACACTCCTCTACCACAAATAAAACTGTCAGTGAAGTGACAAAGATCAGAAAGCCGGGCTTCATTTATTGAAAAGAATAGCTCAGACACAGTGATCCAGAAAATTAATTTTGTAGGTGTTTGGGAACTCGGTTGTTTAATAAGAAACTGGTAAAAAGAGAACTTTTGATGAAAGGCCTGAAGCCACCAAATATTTGTTGAATTTCAGTCAGTCGTCTTCCTTGCTATTCCTAAATTATTGGAGAGTGGAGAACTTGTTTGATATAAAATATATCTTAAATGGGAATTAGAAATAAAACAAAGAAAGCAACCCTTCCAAAAAGTATAAGCTGTCTGAATTTTACTTGCTAAAAGAGCAAATGATGGCGTTATGTGGAACAGTCACCCAGTCTGATCATACTAAAACAGCACGCTTGTTAGAAATCCTCTGTTACATTTCAATGTCTCAATTTGTTTTCAGTTGCACTAAATCTTTGTTAGAACTGTATTAAGGAACATAAAAACCAAGGGCTGCTTCAAAGTAATTATTTAAAGCGTTAAGTGAAATTGTCTGAGAAGTTGCCTCTGTTTTTGGAACACTTTGCCAATCCTTGAAACATCAGTGCTCGTGGTTTTGTTGCTAGCTCTGGGGTCTGCATATGTAAGCCTACATAGTTCTGTATTATTTCTAAATACATCCATTTATAATTGTAGTTGGTCATCAGCAAGTAATAAGGACAGAAGTCTAATCTCTCCGGCATCTGTGTAACTTAGCATCATGCTCGGGAAGAGTACAAACGCAAGCCAGTAATGAGAACAGGATAGATAGCAAAGGCAAAGGATCTGTAACGTACAAGAGAACTTTGCAAAGTAAGTTCAAAGTTTAAAGAGAAAGGAGGGACCCTATGGTCTAATGTAAATCACTTGATGGATATTTTGAGAAGCACTCCTCTTTCGTGCTGAGCAGAACCTTGAACTCCTGTGTTCTGCTAGATGTTAGTAGGGCTGTGTATGAAATAAATTACCGCTTGATGTTAAGAGTATTGCAGCCTGGTAGTGAGTGCTTTGTGGAACGCAGTTACTGAAAGGTAGAGCTTGGTAAATAAAACCTGGATCTTTTTTATTTATTAGATGCCTTCAGTATTTCCTTTACATTGTACGTTAGGCAAGAGTGCAAGTGTTTCCGGGGACGTTTCCATACTCCGTTGTTTTGATGAGGAGGAAATATTTTCCACAGTGTATTTTGTCGTGGTGATTGTAGTAATATGGATGCCTTGTAAAATGTTTAAGTTTCAAGGAGGGAAAAACTGTGGCCGCTGCAAACCAATGTGAGAGTTCCCCCTGCTGTCCTGCAAGATCAGCTGCTGTAACACGCTGCGCCCTTATCTATGGGATAGGATGCTGCAGGGGCTGGAAGTAACAGTGCGCTGCTGCAGTACAGAGCTTTTGGAGCTTTTGTCTCTTTTTCCTTGCTCGTTCTAAGAATCTGCACCCAGGTGACAATGCACGTCACCATCTTTAAAACTTGGACAATAGAAAATAAAACATGGTTTAAGTTGCTGGGCCTCTTTTTAATTGCAGTTGTACAAACACTTTATTTACTGTTTTTAATTCTGTATTACAAATGAATAATGAAATTTTTCAAATATGTTTCAGCAATGCAATCAACCTTTTAAGCAATGTTCCAGTTTCTTGCTTGGATGTTCTTATTAGTCCATCATGCCAAGAAGAGACAGACATAAAATACAATGGTATGAATATGGGAGCAATTCAAATATTGCTGGATTTTATGGAGAAGAGAATAGACAAGGTATGGGCTATGAAGATGCTTGACAAAAGGGGCCTTTTTTCATTAGAACAGAAAGTGCATGTGCTATGTTAAATTATTTATAAACCCTTCAGACAATATTCAGTAGAAGTTTGGATGTCCTTGCTTATTTCTATATTGTGAAACACTTTCAAAATGGGGAACAAGTGGTTACCTATAAAAGTCTGAAATACTACTTGCTTGCCTGTAAGACAGTGAACATTTGGCCCTTCATCAGTATAGTGTTCATGTTTTGGCTGTCACGTAAGATTTTGTTGAAGGGCCCATAGGATTTGAAATAGGAAATTTGCTCTTAAGAATATTTTACTTATATTTGTTTTGATTTTAGGGAAGCAGCTACAGAGAAGGTTTGACTCCAGTTCTCAGTTTATTAACTGAGTGTTGTCGAACTCACAGGAATATCAGAAAGTTTATCAAAGCTCAGGTAGGTAAAATACTTGTGAAAATCTGATTGTGAACCTAATAACAAAATTTGAGGCTTGCACCTCAGTGAAAGACACTGATACTGTCAAACTATGAATGGTTTCATATTACCCACAAAATTCTTTTCAATTTTTTTTTTGTTTGGTCTATAAAAATGATTTTTTTTCAGAGTCATGTAAATGTATAGATATTATGGACTAACTTCCACAGTACGTTTTGTAGATCTGTTAAATAGTAATATAGGGGTATAATAAAGCGGGTTTATATGGTCACTGTGGATCATGCAATGAGTGGCAAAGAGCCCCGTGAGCCGTGCCTCCCTACATTGAGCATATCAAAAAATCTCCAGTGCATTTAATGGAACAGCAAAGCTGTATGATAGCCAGTGAGACCATTGGTGATTTGGTGGCTTCTGCTTGACCATCAGCAGACATGAAAAATATTCTGCATATATGTTCCTCCTCTGTCATCTATACCAGAAAAAAAAAAAACCTGTTGTTGGTGCTTGTTCTTTTATTTACAACAGTTCTTTCTCAAGGAGACTATTCTGATTTATTAAAAAAAAAAATCAAGTTGCAGGGCTAAACATTCAGAAGTTACAAAATGAAGTTGTTTGCATGGTTTTTAACTGTATATTGGTGTCTAGACATCAGGATTCAACTGCATGTAGTCTCTACCACTGCCTTATATAGTGCACAGAATGGATGGATGCTGTGGCTAACTGCATGACTGGGAGGTTTGATATTTTGAGTTATCCTCATTGTTAAATTTCAGCCTCAGGCTTTATTTATTGTGCACTATTCAAATTCTGAAGACAAAATGATTAATTTCTTCATGGGCTGTCCTATGGCACTCATCACTATATTAGCATTAGAGTATTCCAAAAACATTAATTCATTTTTACAGCACTCTGTGAAATCGCAGTTGTGGTACTATCTCTGTTGGGGAAAGTAACCAGAGACAAAGTATAAGGTGTTTGCTATTTTTTTTGAATACTTAGCCTGAAAAACCCAGGGCCTGATTTTTCAAAATAGTCAATACATGGCATTCGTTTAAAGATCAGTTCCTACTGAGTCCAATTTCAGTAGTAGTCGTGCAGTAATTTTACATGGAAGATGAGGTTTTACATTAAGTACCTAGAAGACAAGGGACCTGCAGTTTTTATTGCGAGTCAGTGGAAAGCTTGGTTTTATTCTCTGGTAAAACACTGAAGAGCCATACTACTTGCAGGAATCTTCAAGATCATTAAATATCTCACGTTACAGCCCAGGTTGCTTTGTCTGCAGATCATACCGTCCTGTGCATGTGGAGAAAAAAAAAAAAATTTATCTAGGTTTTGAGTCAGAATGCATATGCACAAGGAAGCTGAACTTACGTTGCAAAAACAGCCATGTTTTAGGCACCTCGGAATTTTCTTGAGTGTTTGAGTTAACAATATTAATTATATTTAATGAGACAATGCTATAAATAGTGCATTTGAGGGCGTTCAACTGTTTTATCCAAAATCTTTTTGAAACTTAACTTCAACTTTTGAAGGAATGTTTTCCGGTAGAAAGACACCTTTCTTCTACACGCATTGTCAATTTTTGAAATTTATGGCAATAGAACTTGCAACGTAACTTTTGTTTTCCTGCTTTTTGACCAAGTATATTCAGTGTTCTGTAAAAATTACCCATTAAGTTAATGCAGTAAGTTTCCTTTAGCTATTTATTTTTAATGTTTTTGCCAGAATCTGAGCAAAAGGCAAGTGGTTGTTTGTATAAGGTTACTGTTGCCTGTTAACCTGCTGTTTTGGGACACCTATTTGTGCTTTTAAAAAAAACCCTGACAACTATTAGGAGTTTAAATGTACATCTGGGACTGAGTACTCTTTTTACCAAGGATGGCAGACCAAAAGACCCAACTACGTTATGAAGCAAGTCATTGCTAGTACACGTAAGCACAGCTGGGTTGATTTTGTTCCCTTTCTTGAAGGGGCAGCGGTTACAGTACTTTCCTGTTCTGCTGACTGTTAGTTTCTGCAAGGATTTGATAAGTACTTCCATGCGTTGCATCCTTCTTTCCACTTTTTGATGCTTCTAGGTATTGCCTCCACTGAGAGATGTATCAAATCGTCCAGAAGTTGGCACAACAGTGAGGAACAAGCTTGTGCGCCTTATGACGCATGTTGACCTTGGAGTAAAGCAAATTGCAGCAGAATTTCTTTTTGTTCTTTGTAAAGAGAGAGGTATAAGTGATTTTTCTTTCCCTTGTATGTAGCATCTTGCTGCAGTTAGTATATTAACTGCTCACTGTATCACTACATTCTCTTAACACTATGCCTATGTTGCCATATAATATTGTTTTGTAGCTTAACTAAATTCTAGCTGAATGCATTTTCTGTATCATTCTTTGCAGTTGACACCTTGTTAAAATATACAGGCTATGGTAATGCTGCAGGATTGCTGGCAGCAAGGGGCCTGTTAGCAGGAGGAAGAGGAGATCATTGGTACTCAGATGATGAAGACACAGATACTGAAGAGTACAAATCTGCAAAGCCCAAGTACTGTTTTTAATTCTGCATGTCCCACTGCTGTTTTAGAGTTCTGATGCAGCTTTTTTGTTTTACCTTTTTCAAAGATGCCAGTTTTAGAATTATGTGTGCTTATAGGAACTTCTGTCTCCCGCTGATCTCATAGTATAGTTACTGAGGAGCCAGCCTCACTTAGATGGCTTCTCCCAAAAATCCACTAAAGTAATGATTTAACTCCAGTAGGGGGAACGACATAAAGATGAAATGCTTATCACAGGGAAGCAGGGAACCAAAATGCAGAATGTTTGTGGATGGCCTAGGAGCAGCCTAAAGATATTAGAGATTCCGAGTATATGTATATTATCTATTGAAATGATACTGAAAAAGGAATTGTGCAAAGCTGGAATTGTTGAATGAGAATAAAGAAGGCTATCAGAGATGATAATGTAAAGCAATAACAAAGCAGACCAAAGAGTTTTTGAAGAACAGCTTGCTAGAGACGTAAAGACTAAAGAGAACCTTTGTCAAAGGTTCGGCAAAAGCCGGAAGCCTGCAGTGTGTATATGGTCATTAGATAGTTGAGAGATAAGTAGGGCAGAGGAAGGAGGCAAGTCCATAGCAAAAAAGCTACAGTAATTCTTTGCATCTGTTTGACTGTAGGGGAGTTGAGGGAATTCTCAGGCAGGCAGCACCTTTTCTTTACAGACTGAGAGTCTGGAAAACTATCTAAAATTCAAGTGTGAAAAGAGACTTGAGAGCAAATTTAGGAAAAAATTGATAGTAACAAAGCTACTAGAATGGCATTTGTTCCAGATTTTCAAGGTACTCGTATGAAGCTGCCGAACTACTATCTATTGTTCATGGGATATCTCTCTGTAACACAGATAGTAAAGGTGGCAAATGTGACTGAAGTTTTTCAGGGGGCCTTTGTAAGAAGAATCAAAGCAGTGGGTCTGGCTTCAGTCAGTCAACTGGCCTGGTTCTCAAATTTTGCTAAAGAATTGACTAAGTCACATGGATAAATAAGGGAAGAGCAAAATAACTTCTGTCATGCCTCAGAAATCTATTGCCTTCCTTTGAAGGATTCAGCAATCCTATAGAAGCTGTCTCCTTTAATTTGTATTACCTGGAATTGGAGCTTTCGGTCTGAGTTACGTTGGATCTGTGATTGGACACCATTTTAAGTTCTGAGATTGCTGATAGCAGGCGCCTGAAGTGTGGTGTTATTTTTCTGGCTTTACTTTGTTTTCCTGGAAGAAATACACTAGTATGAGTAGGTATAGGATGGGGGGGGTTTAAGGCTTACAGAAGGATTCTTGTTAAGGAACGTGAATGGATGACAGGATTAAATCTACAGAAAGTTACAGGAACAATATTACTTCTCTGTTAAGAAGAGAAGAATTAAAAGGCAGGTTTCTCTTTTTCTCTGCTCTTCAGATAATTTTTTTCATGCTGTGTTGTCTTTGCACTTCTTTCATATAATATCTAGTTATGTGCATATAAATAAAAACTATAACATCTATTTAGTTAAAAGGTGACACTTAAATGGAACATCCCAGATAAATGTCAATCACTTCATGAGTCTGATTTTTCTCTACTGCTAACTTTAAATGTTTGATTGCGCTATTTAAAAAGATAGTTTGTGCTGAAAGTGTTTAAAATGGCCTCTCTGCTTTTATTCCCTACCATTTTTTGTGTGAAATTGACTTGTTTTAACAGTTAAAAGAACTGGCACTGTAAATTTGCAATGCAACCTTAGTCTGGTTTGAGCAAAAACGATCCTGAGAGAGAATAAGTTACTTCAGCATTTCTTCAAAAATAAGAAAGTCTTACTGAAAGTGATCCGTATGTTTAAAATTAAGCCTGTAGAAAATTAGTTGCAAGCACATATTTGTCATTCTGTTCTCCATCTATCTTTACATCATCATTCCCCCACTTCCAAGCTATTCGTGTATAACATAGCAAGTATTAGTGGAACATGCGTTTCTAAGTAGTTGACAAGAAGTTAGTGCAGTGAATCACAGGAATAGACTACAAAGTAAATATGAACAGTATGAAGGCTATTTACGGTAAAACCTTCACGTGCAGTTCTGGTAGTATTAGTTTTAGTGGTTTCTGTCTGCATCCTATCTTCTCAGATAGGCAGTACACATGTATATTTATCTAAGAATATGAACGATAGTGTTTTCCCGCCTACAGCATTAACCTTATCACTGGTCACTTAGAAGAACCGATGCCTAATCCTATGGATGAAATGACAGAAGAACAAAAGGAATATGAAGCTATGAAACTTGTCAACATGTTTGATAAACTTTCCAGGTATTGTATTATAGCTGCTCTTGAGGGAGGCAGCTCAGATCCTGAGTGTCTGTTCTTTGCTAACATCTACTCTCAAAAATAATGTTATAATCAACTTCTTTGCAGGGTTAGGGCTACTTTCGCTGCAGAGAAAAACGTTTAGCGCTTCAAAGGAAAGAGTGGCATTTAACAGGACTTCACAGAAAATGACTTTTGGAGAGGATTGGACAGCCTAAAAATGAGGAGGTAGCCTCCTAAGTGGATAGGCTGTGACTGTTAGTAACAAGATTTTCTCCTTTTAAAGTAGTGGACAAAGTTCAAGCCCAAGGCGAGCGTACTCATTTCCCCCAAGTCAGTGAGCAGTCATCTGATGGTAACAACTTATGTCTGTTGCTTATCTGAAGAACAGGTATAGGATGAAAATAGCTGTCAACAGAAACAGTAAGTTATATATTAGAGCAATTAAAAAGGAATTTCAAGTAAGAATTATTGTAGTGTTATTAGAATAAATGTGGACTGGATTACAAATGTGACTTTTATCTTTTTTTTAAATATAAATAAAGGTAATACCATAGAAGAAAATGGTACTTCATGTGACATGAACGTGTAAGCTACTTATACAGAAAATTGTTTAAATTTGCAGTTTTCTCCGTACAAAAAGGGAGCAGGGCCACCGTGGTGACTGTAGCTATTTGTTGCTTTGACTCAATAGGCTTAGAATTTACAGATCTTTCTTCTCCCTTGTTTGTAAACATGTTGAAGTGATTATTTGTAGGTTGTTTTCAATTTAAGCAGAGTGTAACGTTCTTGAGGAACATTTAATGTAATGCTTATTCATCGGTGACCTGAGCTATAGCAAATTAGCCTAGATAAACGTGCAAGTGGATCATTCTAACATATGACGACGTGGAGGCTAGAAACACATTTGTGCCTGTGAGAGTCAACGGATATTCAGATAACAAGAACTTGGGATATAAATTCATCAAACCGAGTATTTTTACAGCTCTCTTAAGAATCCAGCAAAAGATATAGGTGAATCTGGATTTGGCGTTAGTCAGTAAAGACTGAATTAAGTCAGGAGGGATTTTAGAACAACTGATCTGAGACTGCCGGTGTAGCAATTGCAGAGGAGTTTTTCACATTTCTTACGTGGAAAAGTGGTGTAGTGTGTGATCATCCTCTTAATAAGAAAATAAAATACACACGCAGTGTTAATTGCGCTGCAATGTAAAATGGAATGATTGCTGGGTGGGCGAGAGAATTAAGATGCTGAGCTTTAGGGGTACAATACTGAAATGACTGGATGATGTAACATTTTTTTAAAAAAAGTTGGAGACTGGAGACAAACTGAGACTGAAGACAAGTTACTCTCAGTATAGCTGTTAGAAGAAAAAATCCAAACAGCATTGCTGTAGCATAAGAGCCTTTTCAGTTTGGAGGCTTGAGGACACCTGCTGTGTTGCCTGCTTACAAACTGACAGTAACTAAGCAGCTGGTGCCCTGTATCACTACTTATCCTCTTAGCCAGTAGCATCACTCTTACCTTGGGCTTTCTCCATCAGCTACGTCCACCTGCAGTTGTTTCTATAGTACTTAGACTGCAAACTCTGCAGGACTGGGGCTGCTTTTTTGTTGTAGTGTTGCTCTTTTTTTCCTGTAGTGATTAGGAGAGGGCAGTGTTGATTGATGATTTGACCCCTTTAGGTGCTGTGATAGCATGAATAAAATCACTTGACTGTTCTTCCCACCTTTTTTGTTTACTGAAAATTGAGAAGAAAAAAAATGGCTTGTTTTCCGGAGACTGTGGAATGTTTTTAATGAGTGTAATTGAGTGCAATTGTGGGTTTTGTACAGATATTGAATAACATGGGAAGCTGCCAGTCTTGTAGGCAAGAATAAAGTGTTAGTAATATGCTAATAGCAGCAGGTCTCTCTCTGCTTTTTTAGGATTGAACACTTCTGCCTCCAGCTTGAGCCCTTTAGTGCAGGCAGTTTTTGTGGAGTTAAAGGTACCAGTGGAACATACTTTTCTCCTTGGTCTGTAACTTACAGACCTAAACTGGAGGTTGCTTGGATAGGAAACTTGTGTTGATTCTTGTTTTTGAATCATGCTTTGAGGCAGATTGCAGGTGGCAGACTTGCAAATTTTGCTGTTCTTTGTTGTTGCTGTAGGAAGCAACATACCATGAACTGAGCAGTTTCAGTTTGGGGCAGCGCTTTGCTTATAAAGGGGGAGGAAGTTTAACAGGGACAGGGTACTGGTAGTTCCTTCTCCTCATACTGGTGGTTCCTTCTCCTCATTTTGAATGTGTAACTTGATCTGTGCAAGTTGAACAAGAGATTGGCATGTACTCATGTGATAACGGCGCATCTGGTTTGCTTAGTATGGTTGTTATCGTCCCGGTAATGGAAGCTAAGCCCTACAGAGCTAGTGTGCCTTTATGGTATGGAAAGGTATGAAAACCAAACTGAAGGGCTAACAAACTTGCTTCCTTTCCTGACTGAAAAGAGTAATTGGGCCAGTCTGTCGCTAGGTTGCTCTAGGTTTGTGGTTGACTGGCTTTTTCTTGTTTTCAAAAGTTACCTGAATGACCGACTGAACTACTTGGAAAATGAATTTGCAGAACATTGCTACTTTAATGAAAAGTCATAGTCTTTCATTAATGGCTGCTAACTATTTACATACACTGAGCAGTTAAGCTGTACCCTTTTATACATGTTTATTGAAACCTGAATAAAGTGGTATTTTCCACCTTGTTCCATAAGATGCCAGTGGATTTTTGCTCTCCAGGTTTCTCTTAACTTTCAGCATTGGTACTGAAGAACTGAAACTGCTTTGAGGTGATGTAAAGTTGATCTGTGCTTTTATGCTGTTTCAGGTATTATTTCCCAGGCGTTTCTATTCTGTTAGCCTGTTGGTGTTTATGCCTGTTTACGGGGTATTTGATCCTCAACATAAGTTAAATAAAAATTAACCGGTTTTGTTTTATGGATATGTATCAAGAAAAGCTGAAAATCATTTCTGCATCCCTGATATTTTGACATAGGTTTGTTTTTTTTTTTTTAAATTTATAGAAATTAATCTTTTACTCAAATTCGGATTGATGAAGTTGTTTTCCAAAAGCACTAGTATTCTATAGGTTACAAATAAATGAAAACGAAAATTTTGATTACTACAGCTCCTGGGAGATGTAGATGTTATTTAGGGTAAGTTGTTGAATGTCTGAACGTGGCCCTGAGGTAGCTCTACAGGCATTGTCTGTATTAAGGGTAGATACTGTGTTTGTGATTCATTGAGAATTGTTGGCTGGCTGTAAATCAGTATCTTCTGTACGTGAGGCACATCCTTGAGCTCTGAAAAACTCTCTGCATCAGCAAAAAGATTTAACTCAACCTTTTGGTTTTACACAATACCAAAATTGGCCAAATAAAATCATTGTTGTATGATATTCTGTCTGCTTATATCATACATTATTGAAAATACTTTGTGTTAATTAAAATATCTGAAAAAATATGCTAGCATTTTTCCTGTTGTAAATGATAGGTAGAATTGTATATTAATTGACTAATTTAAAATGTCAGGGTGCTTTTTCCAAGCCAACCTTGTATTAATAGCAAGAATCCTTTTGCTGATGAAATGGTCTCCAATTATCACAGCTTGGGTTTTGTTGTACATTGAACAGAAGTCAGCAAAACAAGTATGTAAGAGAACCTGCCTAAATAAGCAGCCATACTCATTAAAAACAAAATTAATCATAGGGTGAATGAAGAAGGCAATGCTACATAGATTTTTTTTCTTCTCTTTTCTAATCATAGAAGAAAATAATGTTACATGAAAGGATCGGAACTATTATGTAGTGCTCAATTATAAGGAGGTGAATAGGTCCCTAACATGCCGTTTTATCAAAGGAACAGACTGGTGTTTGCATGATGGCTGTTTCATTACAGACACTGTCATTAATTCCATGTGTCAATACTGCCTTGTAGTATACAGAGCAGACAAGAAAGAGTACCCTTCAAAACAAGGGAATGATTTTTGAGTCGTTATCAAGCTAAATGGTAAGCAGGAAGCTAAAACTTGTATAGATATATTTGAAGGGACTCTTGGGAGATCTGCAAGTGGAAGAAGAGAATGTATTTTACCAACTGTTTAATTGTGGTGCGTCTCCAAGTATGCTTGAACGCTTTGTTTGCATTAGAAAAACGAATGTTGCAAGAAGAAATATTTGATTATACTGGAGGTCACGTAAGGATGTTCAAATGCGTATAAATATGCACGTTTGTGTATTTATATACCTCTTAATGGATACAGAAGAATTCACACTGCCACCTAGTGGGGCGAAGTAATCTCTTCTGTGCTATAGGCTGACTCTAAAGAATACTCTAAAGAAAAGTTTCTGAGTAATGAAATGTCTTCTGAGGGTGTGTGTGCCAGTTTCTGATGATTCCCATGCCACCTTGTAGCTCCTCTTAAACAATAAGCCCATCCTCAGCTAGCTCAAGTTGACAAAGCTCACTGGAGGTCTCTAAGCAACCAGTGCTAAGTGGGCGACTTGCTGGGTGGGGTTGACAGAGCTGAGACAGTTCATGCCAGGTAAGGGTCTGCTCTTGTGTAGTACCAAGCTGAAGTTGACTGAGTGATGCCTTTGGCAATCCTACCCAAAATTCTTTTATTTAGCACTTCCATGGGTTTTTTCCCAAACTTCTGATGTTAGCTTTTTTACAACCCAGATTTTTTTCTTCCATCCATTTGTCTCCCTCTGTACTTTTCCTCTTTGAAATACATGAGTGAGCTTGAGCTGTGTTCGCAACTTGCAGTCGAGTCACCAGTGAAAGGATGCCATATGTTTTACACCATTTTAGGACTAGATTATGGGTAGAAAAAAAAAAGAGGTGAATCACTGCCTCCCCTCGGAGCAATGTAATCCATACCTGTCCTTTTGGTGGCATAGCACCTTTCTGTGTTTATGCAGTTCAGTTCTACTGGGTAGCATTTGTCTGAGGAAGTATGTATGGAAATCTACCTCTGAATACAGAGAAAGAAAAGCAACCTTAGAACAACCATCTCTCATGCTGTTCAAGGGCTTGCAAAACAGGAAGTGCACGCAGGAACAGAAAGGTAATTGATAAGTGTCTTTGTTATTTTATGAAATGTGAGCTCAGCCTAGCTCACAGTTAAAGCCTAGGGAGGAGGAAATGCGTTGGGAATGAAGCTCAAATGCAGTACAGCACAGTCTATAATGGTACACTTTAAAACAGTTTACAGTGAGCTGAAAAACGTAGGCTTTTGAGCATCAGGAGAGAATGTGCAAAATGCACTTCAGTGACTCAGACTTCTGAGTTTTGCAGACAGAGTAATTCAGTGTATTTGTCCGAACGCTCCCCCAAAACTAGACTCGTGCATGTAGGCGTGTCTTATTTACTGCATCTAGCATTCAGTGATTCTGCAGGTGACTCATTTGGAGAGAGAGAGTTTGTATCAAGTTCTGGAATGCGTGTAGCAGGGGTATAAAATTGAAACGTGAAAGTGGGATTGCAGAGAAACAGTTATTTCTTTATAATGGACAAATGATGATGAGATAGAGCTTCTTGAGAAGCTCCCATTTACAGATATCTAAGCATCCTTATCGGAGAAAGGGGTTGAGAAGTGAGAAGACGTGTAGGTTTTTCTGCAGTTTGGAAGGTTACCTGCCTGCTGGCAACCCACAGTCCTTAAGTTGCATTCTGTTTTGAAGGCTGAGCCATAAAGCTAGCTTGGCCAGCCTGTGTTCTGCAGCAGAGAAAACACAGTCAGTAGGAATTCACAGACAGGAGAGAAGTCGTGCATTTGAAAACAGAAAAGTAGATTCCCATCTTTACTCTGTATGTTCTGTGTGGGTGCTTGCTCTCGAGCTTTCCCTTAGCTTATCAGTATTGCATCAAGGAATTACATCACAGCTGCTAGGGGTCATGCAGAACTGATCCATATTTCCAAGTTGTTTCCATCGTTAAGTCCCTGTGTCCCTCTGTAAGATTCCTATTCTGGCCTGGAATATTTCAATTGGTTCATTATTTTCTTCCGTTTCTCTTTCCTTTTTCTTTAACTATTTCTGTATCCTTTACTAGCCCTTATTACAAGTAATAAAAATGAATTTTAGAGGGCTAGTAAATGAGATGATTCCATGACTTCTGACGGTGATGTTAAATGTTGCTGCCTAAGAGCATTTTGCATTTTTTAGAAACAAAAATCCAGGATCTTCTCAGCTGAGAGGTAAAAGGTGATTTTGTTCTTTCTTTGTGGGTATTTTTGTGCATTTAGAACTTTAAATATATATGAGCAAGGACTTATTCCCGGAGTTATTCTCCTCCAAAAATAAATATAATAGAAAGATGACATGTATTCTGAAACTTGAACCTGAGTGAACTGTGCACTGTCAACAACACCGAAAAACTACTGCAAGACTGATTACAGATTTCCAGTTATGAACTATGGTGTGTTAAGTTAAGCTAACAAGGCATCTGGTGTGTCGGGTTTCTTATAAAAAAGATCTTTGCTGATAGACATAATTCCCACAGCTTACTGCTGTAGTATCTGATTACCACATCTATGCAAATAGATGAATTTCTCTTGTTGAGAGAGACCAGAATGTTCCCCAGAAGGACTTTTAAAGCCTTTTTTTAACTGTTGCTTGACTGTACAACATCTGGCTTGTGCATGCCATGTAATTCAGAGGTTGCCTTTCTTGCTGTTCCTGTTGTTGCATTAAAGTAAGATTGCTAGCTACGTACGAGTGATATTTGTTTTTTTTTCCCTCCCCAGCTGAAGTAGTAGTGCAGACTAGGCAGAAGGTTGCTGAAATGCCTTTGTTTCCTCCCTGGGTGATGGACTTTTACTGTCTGTGGCTCTGTGGGGAGGAGTGGGGGGATAAATTGGCAAAGTGTGAGTGGGCTGCCTTTCAAGCACGGGGTGAACTGGCATCCAGCCTCTCCTACTTCATTTAAGGTGACTCCTGAATATTCAGAGGTATTCTCCAATTTTCTTCAGTAGAAGATCAGAATGTTATCTCTGCCCTTACAGCTTTTGCTATAATCCATGTATAAATTAGGTGATAAAAAGTAAGGATTAAATAAATCTTTGCTAATACTTTTTGATTGGCTTAATCAATAATTAATCATCTCTTAGATGAGGCTGTAGCTTGTGGAGTAGATATAATTGGATTAGCTGTTCAGAGGCCTTTGGAGCTTTGAAGAGATTAAAATGGCTGTAAAAAGTCCTGTAATTAAACTGCTACAAACAAAAGCAATAGTATTAGAATCTGCCAGTTTTTTTTTTTTTAAATGAATCAACAAGTACTTTCACACCCTTAGAAGTGGTGTGGGCAGAATGTGTTCCCCTGATGATGATTTCCCTGAACAAGATGAATATGTATCAAATAGCTTATTTTAATTGTGTGTGCATATATTGGCCAGAATGGCAGGTGAAACTTTTGGAAGAAATGGTTGTTAAAGAACTCTCGGAAGAAAAGCTAGTTTGTGTATTTAAAACAGTGAACCTGCACCTTGTCTTGAGCCTATTAGGCACTGACTTTTCATGGTGTCTTTAATTGGCTAAGTAGGTTTGGCCTACATGAATGAAGTCTTTATCTGTCCTCCTCTTCCCCTCCCACCTATTTTGGAAGGTTTTTTGTTCCTCTTGCTGCAAAATAGCTGTAGCAGAAATTACTTCCTTTTAAAGGCTCATTATGTATTAAAGCATATACTGTATGTGGTTGTATTATATTCGTGTGAATTGATGTGTGTGCATATGCTAATATATATTCCTTTCTAAATCTCTTACAGAGATGAGTTTATAAAACCAATGGGAGTGCGACCGGATGGTACAATGGCTCCTTTGGAAGAAACAGTCAGCCGGTACCATACCAACAAGCAAGACAGTTCAGATTCAGACTAAAGCATCACCTGCTTCGCTCCCAATTCTCCTTTAATCCATGTCTTTCCTTAGAACTATGACATCCTTTACCCAAACGTTTTACCCTCGCGTTAGCCAGCATCACTTTAATTGTGCTATTACTGGGATATTTAAAGGATGGATCATGTGGTGTAATGTCTGCATTTTTATTATGTCTGTTTAAAGAACACATCAATTTATTAGTTTATGATCAATTAATTAATTTAAAACTAAGTGTATTTCAAAGGGATAAAAAGTGAAAACCTACAATGTAAAATAAAATGTAAACATTTTAATTTTCCAGAATCCTGTTTTCTGAACTCTGTAGGTTTTCCCCTTATTGATTTTTTTTTTTGTTTAATTATCTTGCCAGTTCACTCTTTATATAATTGTAAGTAAAGAAGCAAATTGGCTTAATTGCATTAGGAGTAGAGGACATTTAAACCTAAAAGTCTGACTGACCCTGGGAAGCTGCTTTAAAAGGCAGTCAGTGATATCACAACTATACTTTT